GCTGGACAATAATCAATCATTTGTAATCTATATTTTTTTCCTAATGGCAATTTTATGATTGTTTTATATACTACAAACAATTATTTCAATTTTCTGCACAGAATTAGGTAGAAAATATACTTTATAGTTTCTGTACTGTAATAAATATGTCAATTAGCACTGCATCATTCATACATTTTATTTATTTATTGTGTTTATTGACGTTTCACCAGTTCATTCTGCTTTTTATTTAGCTTAGCTGCAGATATAGATGCATTTGTCCATATTAGGCATTTCCTGGCACGTCTTAAGTTCTTTGAGCGCGAGATCACTTCTCTTACAGTGCGAAAACTTCTTTATATCTTTTTCATAAAAAAATTATAAAAAAAGCTATAGTATTTTACTTTTCCTCTGCATCGGCGAATGATGATTCTGAAAGAAAACGCGCCCCATGTCTGATTGCTATAGCAACAAATGCTACTTTCATGCATCTGATTATCAGATAAACCTCACGATACATTCGGTGGTGCATCCGTACATTCGGTTCAACAACATTGTTAAAACACATTTATCATTCAATGGAACTGTGCGTATGCTTTAGACACTTACATTTTTGCTCCGTTCATGCAATAAATGTGCAACCTACGACTGCTCAGGTAATGTCGTCAGTATGACCGAGAGCCACTGGAAAAACTACAGAGAAAAGCAAAACTACTACTTCACTTTAGCATTACTGGCCACGAGTACTAAGGAGAGATCACACATCAGCTGCTCAAAAAATGTGTCAGTGAGACGAACGGAGCGCGAGCGCAATCCTGTGACCGTCACAGGTGGCAAATAGTGGAGCGTGTGAAGGAGAGATGCGAGGCACGAACACCGTTCAAGGTCTCCATTAATTCGTGCTTGTAGTAATTTAATGTGTATATATTTTGAAAGCATTGAATCGGTATAGAAATCGCGATTCATTCGATTCTTAGCATTTTAAATCGATTACTGTCCGAAATCGACGATTCACGATTCAAAAATCATGTTTCAGGATCGATGCATATGCATCGTCAGGGTTTGTAATCGATGCATCGATAAAACGAGCGAATCATTACACCCCTAGTACTTACCATCAAAACTAATACTCGCAACTTTGGTATATCGGCTCTCTCCAGCTTTTAGTGTAATTTGCTTGAAATCCACTGTGACCGCTTCATTCGACGGAGTTGGCCTAACACTCTATACATCACAAAACACATTAAGAGAATTAAAAAGGATATTTTATTCACTGGTTAGATCAAAAACTTTGCCAGATCTTCAGATTTACACTACCATTCAAAATTTTGGGACCAGTAAATTACTACTTTTATTCAGGAAAGATGCATTTATTCTATACTATATTAAGTTATTTTCAACTGCAAATAATTTCACAATATTACTATTTATGCTGTACTTTTCAAATTCTATCAAATAAACACAGCCTTGGTGAGCATAAGAGAATCATTTCAAAAACTTACCAACCCTAAACATTTGAATGGTAGTGTACAAACAAGCCATGTAAATAAGCCCTACAAATTACCATGATGGATACATCTTTTGCTCCTGAATTTAACAGATGCAAATTCAGTTGTTTTGGTCGATCTGTAAAGTTGAAAGGACACAGATATTTGTAACTTTTTCCACAGTATCCTGCAAACAGTTTTGCTGTTCTACCAAGCTACCATCAAATGAAATAGGGAAAAAGCACACCTTGCGATCGAAGTGTACCAAAGTCTAGCATCTCTGTGGAGGAGTATATACCAGGTGCTGGGAAAATGCACAAAACATCAGTGCTGAAGTACAGAAGATCAGATGGTATCAATAAAGGTTATTTCAACTGACCTGTGGTGACTTCAACCTCTACAGGGAGGATGATAAACTCGTCCTCATTGGACGCATTTGTTTTAATTCTGATGAAGGCTGTGTGGTTGTCAGCGTCTCGAGAGGAGAAGCTAGCTCTCATCACACCCTTTGTCTCGAATGGAGCGATCTCCTACAGAACATCAAAAATGTAGCATATGAAAATAATTCATTCTACCACAACAGTGATTTACAATAATGACAACATTGAAGTGTGAATAAAAAGTGATCACCCATAATCTTTTGGTGCCACCCTGCTGTCCAGTAGGCAGCTCTAAATGTAGGTCTCCTCCACTGGTGTACATCTCTACAACCTAAAACCATAAAAAACATGAGGTGATGCAGACATATTTATTTAGACAAACAGCCAAAATGGCCCACTGGTAAAAGAAAATATGATATAGGAGCACTATGGTAAGCTGAGGTGCTTTGTGTACCTGCAGTGGTTCACTGTGAGGGTTGAAGATGCTTATGAGTGGAGAGAAGCTGCTATTTACTGGAACTCTGGCCCCTACAAAGGGCCTGAGTCTGTAGGGATTGGGGATGCCCACACCAAACACCTAAAATCAAACAACAGTTCTTTTAGGATCATTGCATTAAAAATTGTACATCAAACACAGCACAACATTATTAAGTGAATGAAATGTACCTGGTATGTAAACACTCCATGATGCGATGTGTTAATAAATAAGGTATTTTCTACATTCCCTACTACTCGAGCTAGAAACACCACATCAAATGAGGTGTTGCCTCCAGGTGGAATTATCTGTAAATAAATGATGGAATGTGTTACATTTATGCAAGATTACACACATCACTCCATACATATCGCTCATTTTGTCAGTCTGTTACAAGTGCAAAAATAATCATATAAATATAATATAAAAATATAACAAACTAAATATTTGTAAAAAAAAAAAATACAACAACAACAACAACAACAAAAAATCTATAAGCAATTATTTAAAATAATAGGCACATTATTTTCATATTTATATTCCTTTTATATTAATCTAAACATAAAAGTGATGTTTAGGGTTGGCCGCAAATGCCTTTTCAACCACGTGGTTGAAGTGGATGAAGCTGAAACCATTTTGGATCCAGTTTACAGTTGTTTTTAGCATCATCCATTTCAAATGTATCACCCAAAATAGGTGTTAAAACGGGTTGTAACCTTGGGTACCCAAGAGTACACTGAGTTTACGACGGCTGATGTCAAGTCTGGTCAGCCACAATCCATTAGCCAGGGCAGAGAGGAGCTGATTTATGCAGGTGTCAGGAACAGGTGGGATGTGTTTAATTTAGAACCGCCTAGAGTGTGAGCACCCACACACTAAAAGCTTTAATTAGACGTTTCAGTGAGGCCAATGTCCTGCTGTTTTACTGACACGTGTGTGTAAAGGTGATGGTCGATGACTCCTTCCACACATCAATGTTTGGGGGAAGTCGTGGCCTAATGGTTAGAGAGTCGGACTCGTAACCCAAAGGTTAGGGATTGTAGGTGGGGGGAGTGAATGTACAGCTCTCTCTCCCACCTTCAATACCACGACTGAGGTGCCCTTGAGCAAGGCACCGAACCCCCAACTGCTCCCCGGGCGCCGCAGCATAAATGGCTGCCCACTCCGGGTGTGTGTTCACGGTGTGTGTGTGTTCACTGCTGTGTGTGTGCACTTTGGATGGGTTAAATGCAGAGCACTAATTCCAAGTATGGGTCACCATACTTGGCCACATGTCACGTCACTTTTTCAAAAATATACAAAGCAAGGAGGTGTCCTCACTGAGGTCTTCATCAGATGACCTTTGGTGTGAGCTCAGACTAGGGCTGGGCGATATAGCTAAAAAATGTATCAACAATATAATGTTTCATATCGTTCGGTATCGATAATTATTGACATTTTTTATAACCTTTTTTAAAACAAAGAGCAATAGAAAAAACTGTTTAAATTTAACCACTGTATTTTTAAATTAACCCAATTTATTGAGACAAACAACAAATATTTTTGGTTTTAACAGTTAAACACACAATAAAAATTAAACAAATATCTAATGTTTTATATCAGACGCACACCTAACATTTGATTGTACTATTTTTGCATTCAAATGCAAATGTTTATTTTAAATTCGACTAATATAAATTTTTTAAATTCGCAATCTCCTCATCACAGGCAGGCACAGCACTCAATTCAGCATGTGTTCGTGTTTGTGTGTGCGGTCTGCGTCACTCATAGCACGTGCCTATATCGTGCGCTATATCTAAAAAAATTTCTAGCGTTATCGAAGAGGGTGTACCGTCGATAAATATCGATACCGTTTTATCGCCCAGGCCTAGCTCAGACATTTATTTATCTCATCTTCCATGCCAAACAAGAAGATGTGGTATTTACCACACACATCCAGCAGCTGGCACACAAGCTAAAAGACCATTTCTTCTGCTCTTTTGTGCCAAGTTTGAACAGGAAGTCCCAACTGTCTCAGTACTTTGTAGATCAAAAGTTGGGTCTTTCTGTGATAAATACACTACCATTCAAAAATTTGGGTTCAAGATTTTTTAATGTTTATGAAACTCTCTTATGCTAACGAGGGCTGCTTTATTTGATCAAAAACACCATAAAAATAATATTGTGAAATATTAAATAAATGCTGAAAAAATTCAGCAGCCATCACTTCAGAATTCAGTGTCTTATGATGCTTCATAAATCATTCTAATATGCTAATTTTCACGCTAAAATATTTCTGATTATCAATGAGGAATACAGTTGTGCTGCTTAACATGTTTTTGGAAACTGTTATACTTTTTGTTTAATAGACCGTTCAAAAGAACAGAACTGATTTGAAATAGTTTTTTTCTGTATCAGTGTACTGTCATTTTGATAAATGTAATGCACCTCTGCTCAATAAAAGTATTAATTTATAATTAACTTAAAAAATCTTCCTGACTGCAAACATACAAATGGTAATGTACGTAATAAATAAATATCAATTATTTAAACATGATATTTAAAAATATATATATATACTTACCCTATTCTGAAAAAAGGATGCATGAAAATGTGATGTTGTTGCTGATATTGATATTAAACTTATTTCTTCTGAACTTGGATTGTGTAAGTAAACTTTTTCCATTTTTGGCATTCCAACTGGCCTATGGATGGACAAAAGAATATTTAGCAACCAGGAAAAGGACAGAGTAGTGTGTGACATCATGCTTTTGGAGTCAATTAAAGCTTTACCTTTGAAATAGTCTGTATGTGTTAAATTGAAACGGAATCAGGTTAACTAAAAATAAATAAGTCTATTCAGCATCTGAGGTGGCTCGTTCCCATTTATCACTCTATATGCAAGTACATACTATAAGCAAAATTAGTCAAAAACCTAATTCTCAATCAAAAATATAAAAAAGACTTGTCAAATAATCAGATAAATAAACTGTTTCACTGAACATGCTAACAGTATGAGATTAAAGTACAAGATAGGAATGAGCTAATTTTTCTGAGGTTCTACTGCTTGCTGCTGGTGAGAGAGAGACTGGCCTGATTCAAGGCTGTGCAATGACTCCATAGGAAGTTAAAGAGGAATATGCAATCAGAGTTATCTGGTAGAACACCAGCAGAACATCTCATTCACCCATATTCTTTGGGAGGACAATATAGAAAGCTTGTTTTACAACTCCACACACTAACAGTGCATTCCAAAATGCATAAATGACAACTAAGTAGGGCACATAGAAGGGAAAACAAAGCTCTCAAGAATAACTTCTTCAAAACGGCCCTTTGAAACAAATACCTGACAGCAGGTTCATCCTTGTTTGGCTGCCTTTCTTCATTTATATTTTAGAACAGTTTCATCAAGTACCGTATTGGCCCGAATATAAGACGACCCTGATTATAAGACAACCCCCCTTTTTCCAGATGTACCTTTTGGAAAAAGGCTTTTTAAAAACCAAATCTTGTTTTTTCTCAGTAAAACACATTTTGTCTTCAATTATTTTCATATTGCATATTTTTCCTATTTTAATTTTTGTTTTGAAAGTATGGTAAAAACTGGTAAAATGTACCAACAATCACATTTAAAAAATATACACTTTTTGATATATAACGTTACCATTAAAAAAAAAAAAACAGGTAGCCCATCTGAATTAGGACATTTAGGCTATCCATCTAATAGTAGCCTACCAAAATCTTATTAACAGTAGCAGTTAATCCTTACTGTAGTCTTCAAATCTGGCACACCCGTTTTATGCGTATTTGGCGCCACCTAGTGTTGTGGGTGTATTATTGACATGTCAAAGTCTAGACCCTGAATATAAGACGACCGCGTTTTTTCAGATGTATTTCCAAGAAAAAAACATCGTCTTATATTCGGGACAATACGGTAATGTAAATCACAGACTTTATTTTATTCATAAATCAAAAACCGCTATTTTAAAAACCCATTAGAAATTCCTGAGTGAACGCTTGTGTAAAAAAGCGAATTCTCTTCCGGACTACAAAAAAAAAAAAAAAACTTTATAGAGCATTGGAATGATCACTTGTGAAACAAATGTTTATTGAGTCAGAGGCCACCTGACGTGCTGGCTGCACGGGGAGTGAGCTAATAAAACTAATATATCTAATGAGGCAGGAATGGGTGTTGGCCCTCAGCTTCTTTAAATGACACATACTAAAGTACACACAAGACCAAATAAGTGTAACACAACTACATTCAAGTGCACAAAAAATATTTAAAAATTTCTGTAGAAATCCACCCAGCATTTCTTAGAATAGGTCATCTTATGGCAATATTGTAATCAGTGTACACTATTATATATATAGCTCCAATACCAAAGTATTGAGGATTTTTCTTTATTCAGTTGAGGCATTTTGACAAATTGGTCATTCTTTAAAACTAGAAAAGTGACACTAAGCCAGCAGGAAAACTTTAGATTAAATGTTTTAGATTAAATTCACAGTTAAATAGTTTATATAAACAGTGATTGTTCATAAATATTCCTGCATTACGTAATAATTAGGGAAAAAATGTGTTTTAGATGTTTCAATATAATTTGAAAGTGTTGGACAGTGCTGTCACTGCTTTAAATGTCAAGTCAACTACCCAGTGATGGTGGTCTTACTGTTCATGAAAGTCCAGCATTGGAGGCTCAAAGCGTATGGGTCTGCTGTTCCCCCGCTGAGAGGACACACTGCAAGAGAAAGACGATACACTGTAAATGAGGGGGAGACAGTGAGAGACACCATTTCTTGGAAGCCAATGTGCTTTTTTTCTCTTCCCCCAAAAACACACCATATCATGGCCTGTTAAGGATCAAATGATGCCTCTCTATTTTTCTTCAGGCAAATAGAAAGAAACACCCAAACTTACACATACACAGTAACAAATAGGCTTTGTCTGGCATGGAAGCATCAGGTTTACACCAAACATTAAAAGTTCAGGTGAAACATCCTTCCACTGGGCAAGCCTTTGACTCAAAGAGTTGGATCAAACACCAAACCACATTCACACATATATTTTATGTTTGAAGTCTATAATATCACTCCCCCTCCCCATTGTACCATATTCTCCTCATATATTGGCAAGATTTTGCAGTTGGCAGACTAAATAATAAAATGAATCTATGATCAATTATATGGTCCCTCAGGTCAGATATCAGTGATTTTACAGTGTAACCAACTAATGTGGCCTAAAGTATTGTCATTGTTTCGAAAAGATAACAAGCATAAATTTGTCTTATAGGAAATATTTTTTAGCAAGTAGCTGCAAACTCACTTCAAAAATAGCTGAAGCACGAATTGTTGTTGATTGTTGTCAATTCAAAGATCATGGAAAAAATGACACGGGAAAGCTAAAATGACCCAACTCACTAAGAAGAAACTGCTTTGAAACACCTTTGAAATGAGGTCTTGGTTGTTTTTACGGGAGTATAATATATACATACATTTTATATTATATTATATTATATTAATATATATATATATATATATATAAGTTAGCATATTAGAGTGATTCCTCAAGGATCATGTGACACATGCTTTCAGCTTTGTCATCCGGACATAAATACATTTTTAAATGTATTCAAATAGAAATCAGTTATTGTT